GTCATGTGCAGGGGTGACACACCTTCGGGGAGGACTGGGGAGAGCAAAGCAGCTGCTGGGAGCTTCACTCCATGCAGAAACTCGCAACAGCAACAGTTTCTGTTTTGGGACAATTATTTAATCAAAGACAAAGCCAACACAACTCCCGTTCCCCAAAATAAGTTAATAAAAAGTGCAGTTTCAATGACAATGAGACAAACCTATGTTTGTCGTATTCATAACACCTTTCCAGGGTTTGTATGAACCTTCAGAACTCAGAGTCAACGTGCTTTCATGAGACAAAGAGCTGCTTTAACTGCTACCACTGTATTTTTCAGACCACAGAAAGGAAAGTTCTAAGGATTTCAAAAGCCCCGGACTCGGCAGACACTCCACAGTTTAATTTCTGAAGTGAGACAGCTGACAGATTACAAACTCAATTTTACTTCACAGGCACTAAAGCCATTAATCTAGTCTGGTGTCTCTTAAATCAGTGATGATTAATGAGTTTCAAACCCTTTAAAAATGCAGAGGGCATTAGTACAGAAAGTAAAGGCTTCACCTGGCATAGAAAAGAGACAAGACCTTGTTGCATGGTGACATGACCCAGCTATTGTCCAGGTGTGCTACCCGAGCACTCAGGTACAGCTGGAATAAGGGTTACCATGTTGAACAGGGACATAAGAATTTGAAACATTTGTCTTCCCAGCAGTAGTTCACTGCTGTCATTTTAAAGAAAAGTGGACTCCCCGAGGCATCCTAGAGAGCACTTTTGCATCAAATGTTGCCTGTATGCATGAAAGTGAGTATCCCTTGGAGCAGTGAGCTAAGCAATGTATCAAGGAATGACAAATAATTGCTCAATATGCAGAGAAATAACTCCTGAGAATTTTTATCCAAAGCCAGCAGGGTTCTGGCTGGGACAGCAGGGCAAGGCAGTCTCCATTTTGACACATACAGTGCATGTGTTAAGCAAGAAAAAGTGGCTTCAGGAGCATCAAGTCCTGGACCTGTGGCCCTCAAGAACATGAGTCTGACAGGAATTGAGTATATACCAGTTTAGGGATACAAGCACTCTCTTTTCTCTCTTCTAGCACCACTAATCTGCTATTTTGCAGCTGGTCTGTCCCATTTTGCTAAGGTAGTAAAGTAAAATTTATTTCCTTCTTAGTCATCTTGAAATGAATTTATGTCAGCAGAGAGGCAAGAGGACTTTCTCTGCATATGCTCCAAAGCTGTATATTACATTTACTACATTAGGATGTCTGTGGTTTCCAGTTAAGAGAAAAAAATGAAATGGCGAGGAATGAACAGGGCAGCTGTAGACCTTTGCACATGTCTGCAGAATGAAGAACTGAGTCCTGGGACGTGGTTAGCAATGTCTAGCACCCACCTAGTAACTGCTGAAGAGCCAAAACAATTTTGCAATGATTTGTTGTGTCAGACATCTTTCAATAAATCAAAAGATAATTTTCTTGCTTAAATCAGCTGTCTTCTTTTGTTGAGGTGTTGGTTGTTTAGTTCCACAGTTTTCACAAGCAGCTCTGTATCCAGCAGAAACAACATCTTGTAAAGCAATTTGCTGGCATTGCCCTTTCTCTTTCAGCTGGTCTCTGTGGACAGAGAGACCCAGAGATGCATCTAATGGAGAGGGAATTCCTGCCCTCCCACATCTCTCCAGCCCCGCAGTGTACACGCTGGATGCTGGCAGACACCCCTTGGACTTCTGACCGTACAGGGATCTCCACACGCTCACTTCCAGTAAAGAGTTCCTGTTGTGTAGGCACACACAAGGGCACCCAAATCATTACGTGTGCCTCTTGCTGAGGAGACAGAAGAAACAAGCTGATGCAAAGCAGTAAAAAAAAAAACAAACTAAAGATGGTGACCATCTGAATTTACATCTTCTCCTACTTTGTGAAATCTCGGGCTCCTTTTCACTAACCCTCAAGTGAGTAGAAAAATAATTGCAAGAGCCCAACTCTACCTTAAAACATCAGCAAAAGGCAAGATTTGCACAGTATTTGCATCTTAGTCTTATCTTTACTACAGGTCTATTTGAAGGAATTATTCTGTACACTACCCGTCTGTAGGCAGGATTGCAATTAAAGTTCAGTCCAAAACTCCATAGTATCAGACAATGCACAAAATTAGTGCTATCATTTAAAAAAGAATGAAAAATCAAAAAAAGAGTATAAACCATTTATTTTTGAGCAAAAATCCTATACAATTGTGGCTTGACTACCATTAAACTGCTGACAAAATAATAGCAAAGAATCTGATAAAATATATTCCTGACAATCTTTCAAGTCCTGCATTACATTTGGAATGGTTTCAAATATAGAAAAAGGTCCAAACCTCACCTATAATGAGCTTATTCAGTTTGCATCTTGTACAACTTTTACAGTTTATAACTGGATAAGTGTTGATGCATAAAGCTGTAATTCCCCAGTGTTGATCACAATTTATATTAAAATAAATAAGCAAATATACTGAGATGATACAAGCTGAGCATACAGAATTCATCCTCATTACACTTGATCAGAGGGATTCAAGCAAACAGAGTCACACTATGAAATTTCCAAAAGAAAAGCAATCTAGAAACAACACTCTCACCACCTTCTCTGAGCAATTTTCTCCCAGTATTAACATTACTCTTATAAACCCTTTGGCTGAAGTTACAAAATAAGATGCTTAAAGGTAAATAATAAAACTAGTAGGTAAAAAAATGGTTCTTCATCATCTAAAATATAATCAGCTGGATCTTCAGCTTTCAGATATGTCACCAAAGCTGGGATTCTTCATATTTTAACCTTCAAAAGTTAAGCACTAGGTTAGTTGTCTGTCCCCTGCCTGTTCAATGCAGATTCAGCTTAACCAAGATGCTGATTTTAGAAGGATCTGCCCATCCAAGATGCCTGTTTCTATTCCGTGTATAAAGACAGCTGTCTATTTTTCTTCCCTAGCAGGAGGGAAGGAATATAGAAGGCCATCTAAAACCAGCCAGTGAATTTTTACATGGCTCAAATTATGTGTGATGGATTGAGTCAGATCAGCGAAGATTTCTGGGTGTCTCTATCACAATGGGAGTTACAGCTCTAACTGTGTTTGTCATTTTGTCCCGTTAGGGTACAATTAATGTCCCACAAAAGCAACAGAACTGCTCTTGCTATGTTTGGTCAGCACAAAAAAATCAAACCATCATACTGGATACCTGCCCCTCCGACGCAGGGGCGACGTGGCGGTAGCCCTGCAGAGGAGGCAGTGGGTACGCTGCTGCTCCCAGGTGATGCAGATGCACCGCGGTTCAAAGCTGGAGAGGGGACAGGGCAGCAGGCAGAGGAGCCAGAGCTTCAGCATCTTCGCTGCTGCGTGTATCGGGCAGCCGATATTCCCAGGGGAGCGCCCGGGAGAGCACAGAGCGGTCGTAACCGCATTTTGGTTTTGTGGCAGCAGGACATGTTTCTGGGAGGGAAAGAAAAACACCCAGTGTTGAAGTTTAGCTAGAGGAAATATTTGTTCTTATGACCTCGGTGGAATAAGAACCACATGTCATGTTTGTTTGAGAGACACACGCTGAGCCAGCAGCTTAGCAACCGAGTGAGGGGCAGAAATTACTCATTATCTTTTTAATTTGGAATGGACTTTAATTTCAGTATTTTCATTGTTTATTTTATGACCCCACATTAGAGGTGTTATTATTACCACTCCCATGGAAAATGCTATGAATGAGGTAGCACCTCTCCAAGAAAAAAAAATATCTCAGTCTTAAGATGATCTCTTTTCTTGGGTGGGGAAAGAGGACAGAAGCTGTTGTTTTTCTGATGCATGCTGAGAAATGCTTAGGAACTATCACCTAATTTTCAGGGCAGAAAGGGGGAGCACTCAATGCCTGTCACTGATAGCCTGTTAGCCTGCGTCCTTGAAAAATAATATGCTACAAGGAGAAAATGTGTAGTACTGAAGTGTGGTTCCCTTATAGAATCATAGAATGGTTTAGGTTGGAAAGACCTTTAAGATCATCAAGTCCAACCGTTAACCCAGCACTGCCAAGTCCACCACTAAACCATGTCCCCAAGCACCACATCTACACGTCTTTTAAAAACCTCCAGGGATGGTGACTCAACCACTTCCCTGGGCAGCCTGTTCCAATGCTTGACAACCCTTTCGGTGAAGAAATTTTTCCTAATAGCCAACCTAAACTTCCCCTGGCTCAACTTGAGGCCATTTCCTCTTGTCCTATCACTAGTTACTTGGGAGAAGAGACTGTCTCAAAGCATCAGGAACAAGTGATTTTAATGGATGGTTAAAAACTTTACCCCCCAATATTATTGCACTGTAGGGAGCTGACATCAACAGTGACCTACCTGACGTCATGGCAGAAACACGTGTTTCAAATGCTGGCCTAAATGCAGATGATTGTTAGTTGGTGCTCATCTACCCGCAGTGCGATATAATTAGAAAATAAATAACTTCTGCCAGAGGACCTCTCTTGGTTTGCAGCTAGTTTCAGTTGGATTCCCTTTCCTTATCCACACAGTGGTGTGGGTACAGCCCTCACAGATGACAGGCACATGAGCGCTGCTTACAGAGAAAGTGTAGCTATCCTTAGTATCCTTAATATATACGTGAAATGCTGTTAGTGCTGAGCTGGGATATGCATTTTCTTTATAAGGGGCTGTCAAGCACAAGCCCTCTGAAACTGTGCCAGGATACAAAGAATCAAGAGATCTATTTTAAAACCCTATGCTCCTTTTCTACACTTTCTAGGGGGTTCCTGAGTCACATTTTCAAACTTCACCATGCAACCATGCAGAATTGTTCCTGTCCAAATGACGGATTTGCCAGGGGTGGTAGTGGTGAGGACTGAGCGAGTTGGCCAGTCCTGTGCTTCTTGGACCCAGGGCTTTACTAGGGACCATCAGCTATCATAAATTAACATTGCAGGCATTGGTAACACTACTGATGAGAAGAGTCTTTCCTCAACGAACCTTGCTGTGTTATTAAAGGCACCATTTTGAACATGAAAGGCTTAAACGTGGAGAAGGAAACGTTTCAGCTCATCTGGGAGCAGAAGTCCAGTTATTTTTTGATGCTGCTTGTGTCCAAAGCACCTCCTGATGCACAGGCGGCACAACTGCATCAAGGACAGCGGCCCTGGAGAAAGAGCCAGAGAAGAGGTTACACATGTGGCTTTATCGCCCCAAAATTGTAAAGCTGAAACGGCAACTGTGCATTACCACTCCCCCCAACTCCTGCAACCCACCTCACGCAGTGGGTGTGCAGCCTCCCCCGGATGCTCAGCAGTGAAAATCCGGACCTGTACCCATCAAAGGACATCAGGCTGCCTGCGATTCAATTCAAGCCTAGTCACTCTCTGTCATTATACAGCCGCAATTAACATTAGCAGTGTCAGTCTGTCCCTTTTAAGCTGCACGAATGTGAAATGGATTGTGTTGTCTGAGAAGAAGAGATGATCGATGCTTCCTTCAAAGTCCTTTCCCCCCCTGACTCCCCCAGTGAGATCCAAGTTTGCAGCCCACTGCTTTCTTGAGACGTATTTCATAACAGTGACAAACACACAGCAAAAGAAATACTATATAATCCTTTATTTGAACCTTCCAGATTAACCAGTCCCATGCTGATTAATACAAGCCCTGCTGAAGAATCTGTGGTGCTTTTTTCTTTATTTAAGCATAATGGCGTTATACCCTTACTTGGGGGGCTTATCCTTTTCACAAAGAGGTAGATCCTGTGTGATGCTTTTAACTGCGGCACCTTTCAATGTTCAGCCCCCCAACATGTCCTTTGCGCCCCAGTGTGCAGCACGCAGGGGTGACACACGCGGTGGGTCACGGGGGGGCTGTGGAGGGCAGATAAGAAGAGCAAAGCAGGGGCAGCAGCAAGTGTGGACTGGGGGGTTGGGTGCTGGGAGTGGCGAGGAGATAAGAAGAGGCACTGTAGAAAGGGAGAAGGAGGTAAGTGAGCTGGGAGGGGACAGTGTAGGTGCCACCCGCCGTGCCTGCCTGCTGGGTGGATAAGTTAACGGTCACCAGAGAGCTGAAACGTTGGTGCTGGTGGAGGAGTGAAGCGCAGCGGGAAGGAACGGGGTCTGCAGCAAAAATGCAGTGAGGTGGCAGCTTTAGTCAGCTTTTGGGTCTTCCCTCACGCAGGCCACCATGTTTCCAGCAGCTCTGCACAGCTGAAAACTGCTGCACTATTTGAAGGGCTGTGCAAAGGGCTGCACCCCCCTGCTAGGAGTCAGCGGATGGTTTACCCTGTGCTTGGGTACAAGACAACAAGGCAAGCTGAGATGGGGCAAGTGCGACTGGCTATTGCAGTATCACACTGCACGTGTGTTTGGCCACTCTGATCCCACAGATGAATGCCCTGCCTGTAAACATCTAATTTAAAAAAGCTTCTGTTAAAAAAAAGAAAACTCAAAAACTAAAGACTTATCACAACACAAGCAGTGTCACTACACTGAAAAATACTTAGCAACTGCAAGCATCCTCTTCAAAAAAAAAGTGCATTTTTGGATCATTAGCTAATTCTCCTACCCACACGTAGGACTCTCCCTGCAATGCAAGCAGGGTGGGCGGTGGTCCGGTAGCATGGTGAAGTCCTGGGAAGGGAGACCACCACATGTACTACACCTGCTCTGGGCTAGTCCTAGGGCGACTCCGGGTTGGTACACTCACCAACTCATCTCTGGTGGAAAAACACACTCCCTCCAGCCTACCCTGTCCGTGGGCACAGGGCTGCTGCCCGCCAGCATCTGCGGCATGGGGGGAAAGGAGTCATGTGTGGGAGCGGGACAGGAGAGCAGCAGCTCAGCCGTGACGGTGCTGAGGGGCTGGGGGTGTGACACTGATCCCCACAGCACATTGCCAAACCTCCCCATGAAACCAGAGGGGTAATGTTTGCACCACTCTCCCAGGTTGCAACCGTACAGCCGGCCAAAGAACTTAGACATCAGCTGCCCATCAGGCATGACCCTACTCAGAGGAGGGCATGCTGGAGAACATCAGAAAAAAACCTATTCAGCAGCAAAATGCCCGTCAGGCATTTATCATTTCTGATTTCGATTGCTGAATTTGACTTAGAGAAGTTCTTTACTGCCCAAGCTGTAGGCTCAGCCCGAGCCGCACTTCTTGGGCCGGCTCCACAGGGTGTGCCTGAAATGGTTTTCTATCTTAAATAAACAGGACACACACAGTGCCACGGGAGTCAGGAGTGTAACGCAGCAGGGATTGGAGCTAGAAAAGATCACCGCTTTGTGCACCATAGATTAGGCTGGGAAACCAAATATCCGTTGCTCATACATAACATGCACGGCACAGTTGTTTTCACGCTATTATTTTCATGTTACTATTTCAAGTAGGGCCTGATTCATCACTTTATTATTCCAGTTTTACCTTGGTGCAAATCTGTTCATGACAACAATCACATCGACATGTAACTGGAATAATAAAGTCATGGACCACACCATCAGCAACTTGTTTTAAATAATGAAAACTATTTAGTAATGTGCATAGTTTTCTGACCGAATGAGAACATCTAAAGAAGAATGCAAGTACACCAATGATTAGACACAAAAGACCTTATTCTAATTTTCCTGAAGATTGGTAAGTAAGATTTCTCTCCATAATTCATTAAAATATTCATAACCAATAGAATAAAATGGATCTGTAAATACAGATCCTGTAATTACAGGTACAAAATAAGTACTTCCTAAGGGTTAAGCCTACAGTTTGATACTGCTGGATTATTCAGCACATAATGTTGGCCTTTAAAAAAAGCCTATTTTATAAATGTATATACATATTTATATTCATTGTATCATTCTTGTGCAATTTTCCTTAATCCCCACAAAAAAACTAATATAGAGTCTTTCATTTTAAAGATACTTTTGTACCTACATAAGATCTTGGCCAAACAATAAAAGTAAAGGACAAAGAACTAGAAGATCAGTGTTTCAATATACCTTTTTTTTTTTCAGTATCACATACATGAAAAATTTTCTGGTTGCAATTTTGCATTTATGCTGAGACCAGTATCTGGCGTGTACCTGACCATCAGCATATTGTATAACCAAAGATCCCAGTCCTAGCTCTCACCAGCTAGCCTCAACTCCCATCAGAGGTGATTTTCTGCCTGCGTTTGGCAGCACGCTCGAGATAACACTCCTGGGTCTACTCCCGTCTCAGAAACAAAAAAACTGAAAGGCTCCTGCTGACTTCAGTGCTTTAGGTAATCAGAAAAAGCCACCATCAATTTCTAAGGAGTCTTTTCCTTGTTTTTTTACCCTAAACTCTATTTTGCGTTATACTGCAAGCTCCACATGATTGTTCCCCCATGCAGTAGATTCACAGCCTGGAGGTTGGAAGATGGGTTATTGTTGTTACCATGATCCCTATTAATGCGCCACTGTATTCTGACACTAGAAAACATAGTGTCCATATGTCAGTGAATGGAGGTAAGCTTAGTCACCCTGTTTTGTAGCGCTTGTAGCATGGAATAGCATAGCTTTTTGCAGCAGTTTGTGTGTTTTTTCCCTAATGAATCCCGAGTGAACGAGTAAAACAAGCACTAAGGGGCACCTTCTTTCTGCAGGAAGAGTTGGCCCACAGGGCTGCTGGGTGGAACCAGCTCCATCGGCCTCTTGTTTTCGGAGTTCTTCACCCAAATGTCCGCTCCAAAATCAATCAGCAACGTCACCAGCTCTGCACTGCAATTCCTAGCAGCTGCGTGCAGAGGGGAGTCCGGGCCCTTGCCGCTGTTCACATTTGCTCCTGAACACCAAGAGATGACAAAAGAATAATGACAAAGAATAACAACTATACCGTAGCCTATTTCCATTTCCTGCACTAGCTGCTATTTCTCGGAATAATCTGTAAATTATTAGCACCTACCCAGAAGTGGATTTCCTTACGCAGGGGCTTGGTACTACAATTTGCACATGCACAACTCACACTAGTTGAGGAGGAGTGGGGTTGTGACTAAGAAAATGATCCCAGAGGGATGATGCATGAGGAAGTCCTTCATCCACAGCCCAGCCCATGGATATCTTGAAGCAGGACAAAGATGTAGTTCCACCTACAGCCCCCCCTTTGCTCCTCATCCCAATGCCCCATTCCCTTAAAATACAGGAAACAGGGTTTCAACTTGCTCTGTAGCGGAGGCTTAAGCCAGTGGGATTTCCAAATGCCAAAGTATCTGTTGGGGAAAAAATGTGAGGATGGAAAAGTTCTAGAGGCCCTTGGTAGAGGAGGATATAAGCAAGCACCCCGATGAGTGTTCCCCCATCCATTATCCTGGGCTAATGGCTCCTAAAACCCCCTAAGAAAGGTGAGCTGCAGAACTAATTCAAAAATATTTATAATATTTTTATAATACACATTCTCATATATAGAAGGCAGCAGAAAACAAATGTCAGAAAACAGAAAATAATAACCAAACATTTACTATTTAGATTAATTTGTATTTGACTTCTTCCAAAAAAAAGATCACTGTGCTACATAGTGCATAAGGTGATCTACATGATGTTTGCTTGTTTTTTCCAAAGCAGCTTTGTTGGTCCATTGTTTTTGTACTAGCTACATGGCTACTTTAGGTTATATGGCCCCTTTGGTTAGAAGAGATGCACGACTGTAGATAACAAGAAATGGTCTTGTGTAATTAATCAAGTGCTTAGACTTATACCTAGATTTGCTTCATACAAAGTATATAGTGCTGAACGTTTTCCTGTGTTGGAAACTTTTCAAACTTTTTTATGAACTCAGTGGGAATTAAAACGTTTGCAGAATTACTATGTAAAAATGACTGAGTCAATTGTTTTGGGTAAAGAGGAAGGAAAAGAAAAACAGGAAATTTTTTCCTGCCCACTTCAAATAACTGCAGCATCACACACACAAACACTGGAAGGGATGGTGTTTGTTCCAGGCATCGCTGGTCATGTGAAATCCAGGATCACCCATCATTTTGTTGGGAGCTGTAAAGCTGAGTTCCTGGGTCAAGAAGACCCTGGTTACCCTGCTACCCCATTTAGCCCGGGGCTGCCATTAAGAGCAAAACACCTCCAGGTTCCAGAGCAGGAGGTCCTCTAAAACTTTGATGCAAAGAGAATCCAAAGATAGATGTTGCAGGAAACGAAAGCACACCATCCTTTATTTTTCTTTTTACCTGACTCAAGCAGCTTCTTGGCACAGTTCACTTGCTGGTTCTCACAAGCTACATAAAGTGGAGTACCCAGATGCTTGATGTTGTGATCTATATTTACCCCATGGGATGCAAGGAATTCGACACATTGCACATGACCTTAAAAGGGATAAAGGAAGAGTCAACTCACAGAGATCAGGCATTTTTTCAGCAAATTCTCTATTGCAGCGGTGTAATTTGGCAAAGATTCAATGTTTTGTCAAGTGATCGTAGTCTAATACTTTCATCCACTACAGTGTTTCCAACCTGGAAAACAGGAGCTGCAAGCCACTGTTAGCAAAACAGGCTAAAGCCCTCGCATTTTATCTGACTCATTTCAGATGTCTACCGAAGATGAGACGAATCATACCAGGTTTCTCTCCACTGCTTTTGAAGATAGCCAGATGACTCCCTCAGAGGTCCACATTGTAGGCAACTGACTTGGACAATGCAACCCCTTCCAGGTGTCACCACATGAACTCAGAGGCCCCGAGAGCCCAGCCGAGCTGCCCTCGGTGAGCACCAGGTGTGGGAGGAACTGCACTGCACCACTCGTGATGAGACCAACTAAGAAGGTATTTCACATGACCCAAATCCAGAAAATGATCTTCTTTATCTCTCTTTTCCACTTCAACACATTGCTAGTAACACGGAAAGGGGTGCTGATGCCCATGGGGTTACCTCTCTTAGCAGCTTCATGGATGGGGGATGCCAAGTCACAGGGCGGGTGTAGGCTGGCTCCGTGTTGCAGCAATAAATTCAAGCAAGCCACACTGCCACTGACACAAGCACTGAACAACGGAGTGTGCCAGTCGACAGTAACTACATTCACCTGGGGGGAAAAAACCACCATCAGGCTTTTTGCTCATCTTCTCAGTATTTCAAAATAGATTAAAATTGTCCAGTTTCTCAACAGAAAATAGGGTTCTCAATACTTTTTTTTTTAATTCCTTGCAAAAACTGCCTACTGCTTCTGAGGATTACAAGGTTTTATTAAAAAGATCATTTAAAAAATCTGTTTAAAAATTTTCCCCAAGTCTCTCCTCCTGCAAATTAATATCTAACCAGTGCTGCTCCGGGGTGTCTCGGGAGTTACCAAGTCTCTGAGTTAAATGTGTGCCCATTTCTCAGTTATCTCAGCTGAAACGTACCTGCCCATTGCCCTGTTCTGAAATGATCCATTTTTAGCTGAAATTCTGCAGACCCCCTTTTTAAAAAAATTCTAAACTGAAAGGTAATATATGGATAATGAGTTAATTTTCTCATCCACTATAATTTAGAAATTAGCTCAAAAAGCAGAGGCCAAGAGACACTCCCATTTCGCCATCGTACTTGCATGCTGTTTCCATTTTCTTCCCATTTTATCGTCAGTTGATCCTAACAGTCCTACACCTCTCCTTAAGACTGTATATTGACACCAATGGGATTAGTGTGTGCAGAAAATAAAATGCACCCTTAATTGTTGCAGGATTATAAACCCTTTGCAAGAGGAACTTCCCCTTATTCTTTCAGTAAATGATGAGAACATCGCACCTTCATCTAAAGAACAATAGTAAATGTTGTTTATATCTGTGCTTTTTGGATTGCTTTATCAAGAAGTACATTTTATAACAGATGTTCTTTAAGCTGAGCTAAGTACAGAGTGTAAATCACAGTGATACACTGTCATGAAATAGTACATCACCTAGCATTAAAAAGTGATAAGACAACATAGTAACACTGGATACAATGGTCTGTCCATCATGCACTCACCTGAGCACCATGTTTTAATAGGACACTGGCACAAGCAGCATGACCCCCTAGGCAGGCTTCATGGAGAGGAGACACCTGGTCTGCTGTAACAAGATTCACATCACTCCCCTGATGAATTAATATAAAATATCATTACAACCAACTACCAAAACCCCCATACAAACAAAAAAACCCCAACTCTTTCTATAATGACCTTTAAAAGCTTTATGTAATCGCACCTTCCTCAACTGCCTGGAGTTGCTCATCTCAACACGTAAGCAGAGAAAGAGGCTGGAGTGGATACTGGCACAGCGTACCACAGGTCATGCCTTCCACACGCTGCTAATTGGCGCAGAAACCCATAGGCAGTGGGCTGTCCAATGGGACAATACAGACATCCTTTTAGGAACTCAGCATAATTTTATTTCTACTACACTACAAATAACAAACTCTGAAATAAAAGAAATGATTAAAAGTCGCTACTAGAGTTCTTGGCAGGGTTGTGACTGCCGCCTTTTTACATCACCGCTCAAGCATTCTGACCTCCTGCCTGCTGAGCCTGCGGTTGTTTGACTGGATCGAATCCTGAAATGCTTTTGAGGTGTTTTCTGGTCTTTGGTCAGAGTGTGTCATGCCCTGAAGGAAAGCCAGCCCCTGCATTAGAAACCATTGGTTTGATTCTATAGGTTCTTTTGTTTCTAGCAATCTTGGTGCTCCAGAAGGTTAAGCTGGAAGTGTCTCCAACTTTCCAACAACCATTCCCTTTTCATCAACTCCTCCACAGTCTAAATCCAAGAATTTCAAGGAAACGGAGCAGTGAAGTTCAGAAATCGCTTCTCCCTAGCTGTGCCCTTCTGCAGTGGGAGCAGGGGCCCCAGATACCCTCAGGCACTTCAGAAACAGATGTCTGGGTGGCTGAACTGAAGCCTCAACCAGACCCTTGTCTGGGTCCGGAGCTGCCCTCCACCCAGGGCACCAAACGCTGCTCGCAGGTGCAGGAGCTGCAGAAGGAATCCCGCAGCTGCCTGGAGATCCCAGTGACCAGGGTCCCATTACCTGCACCAGAATTAAAGTATGACCCAGGATATTTTGATACATCATCAGCTCAGTGCACAGAGCTTGCACTAGGCAAGGAACCGCTTATAGAAAAAGAAAAGGTCTGTTACATGCAGATTTCACTGCATTCTGGTCAACATGATTTTCTCACCCTGAGGTTTCACAGTAAAGCACAGACTACATTCAACAACTGAACAAACCCAGCAGAGATCATATCAACCCAGCAGAGGGGTACCTGTTTGATGAGTTTCTTCAGAGTAAGCAGGCGCCCATGGATAGAGGCATCATGTAAAGGAGACCAGTCTGAAACAAAGTCTGTATAAAGAGAAAGACAGGAAAAAGGCTAACAGCTCCGTGGACTGTTTCATCAGTGTAGTTTACTTCAACTGCGTGACCCCAGCAAACCTTTTTTCCTCTAATCTGTTACTTGAGTGGCCAAGCTTTCCTTGGAGCAGCTGCTGGTAGGGAGTGAGACAAGAGGACAGCTTCAACCTGGGTGTGTTTTTAACTCATCCCGCGTTGGTGCTGACTGCACTCCCCTTCAGAAGATGAGAGAGGGATTTGCAGAATATTACCTTGCTCTGACTGAGCTTGTCCCTCACTTTGAATTATTTCCAGTGGCTTTGTTTTCACAAGCTCGTTACACTTTACCGATTATCTCAGAAGGACTATGTTTTGAAGAGGGTACAGCAGCTCAGTCATTTACCCGTGCTCAGAGCTGGGCCAGAGTCAACAGTACTTAATGAGAGAATGTACCAAAGTACAAGGAGATAAATTGTGTTACCTGTTGATTTTGCTCCTCAATTTTCAGTGTTTGGTGTTAGCCTGTGCAGTGGTGCATTTTAAGTACTAGCTGTATTGCTATTACTAACATTGTTAATTTCTGCGTTGTAAAAACCACGAAGTGACATATAGCACGTACGGAGGGAAGCTCGAAGGAAGGGTCTGCCTCAGCTTGTAGGGACAGCCGAGGGGACGGGATGGGACACAAGCTGCACGGAAGTGAGGACACAGGCCCAGCCTGTGAGGGGTGAAGTAGGTCATAAAGAAACTGTTCCTACTACCGTGATGAATACACTGATACTTTAAGTGCCCGTATAAAACAAACAGATTCATATTTGCTCTTACAAGGCCTTATGCGAAAGATTGACTTCAGGTCACCTTGCCAGATAACTGAGGAGGCACAAAAGGTCTGTGTCAGAAACTGAATTTTAACTAGTGTTCCCAAGTAATCTTGGTACATAAAGCTTGATGTCCAGAAAATACCATATGCCAAAAATAATTACTGGAAATGAGTCAGCATAGCTCCGGCTGGATGAAGGAGGTATGGGAGGGAATCCTTAGGGTTAAACTTGGTACCAAACCTGTCAAGTCATGTAGAGTGCTTTTCTGAAAGACCTTTTTGCCAGACACAAGCATTATTTGATGCATTTTACAAGACATGCATATCATTCCTCAATTACGCTGAGTAACATAAAGGTCTGAGGAAATACTGCTAATGCCTTTTATGTTTCACTTCTCTAGTTGCTGTATTTGTTTTTTATTTTAATATAGTGAAACATACTAGCTTAGTGCTGAGGACCATACAAATATTAATAGAAGGGGATCTTCAGTATTACAGATTTTATGGCTCAGGGCCAGCTGACAGCAATAATCCCTCTGGGAGACATTTACCTCCTTCAGTATTCATTGCCTCAAAACTCAGTGTCTGGTCTACGTTAATGGCCCAGGTTCCCCCTGGGAAGGAAGAGAAGCATTTCCAGAGGGCATTTCACACAGCTTCTTTTGGAGACACATTTTGCTGTTCTCTGGAGATGTCCCACTCTCCTTCCACTAACTACAGAGAAAACCCCAATGACCAACTTGGACGAGTTGCTGAAGTTTTCAGGGACTAGACTAGATTATATGCGTGGAATAGGATGCTTAACAGTGAGAAGTCCACCTTCAGCAACAAACCTAATAAGCTACCGTAATCCTTTAAAATAACTTTTACAGATTAGCTGATGATGTCAGTGCTTATGCGAGATCCGCAGATCCTGCCTTGTCTCAGGTATGAACATGCATGCGAGAGCTGAACCCCTCATGGCTGATGTCCTGCTCCTTCTGGCTATGCCACAATGTGCTGGGACAGGGTGATAACCAACTGTGTCAGTCATCATGCAGCCTGTTGGGCTATTGCTCTCTCACTTTCAAGTGTGCTCAGTAAAGGACATCAAATTTAAACAAGATAAGGTCTAGTATAACGAGACTTACAATGGTTTTGTGATTGAAAAATTCTGCACTAAGTAAATCGTGACCCGAGGATGGTGGTATCGGAAATGTGTTGTGTCTATCACACACAGAAGATCTTTGCCTGCATAGCTATGTTAGGTAGGGGAATGATTTTTTGCAGGCATAGTGGCCACAAAAGACCTGCTATTGATTTAGTTATTCTTGCAAGACTCTTTCATGAGCATGTAATACATTTTTCTAGAGTTGTTCATATAGGCAAAAGGATATTTCTGCTACTACAATATACCATTTTTGAGCCACTCGATGTCCATCACAATGCTTATCTGTATAGCACACTTTTGCAAATATGTACATATCATATCTTACTGTCTCTGAACAATGGCTCATTGATGGACTAAACTAGGGTAAATTTTAGTGTTTCCTTTCTTGGACACAAAAAATGTGTCTCTGTAACAAGCAGCTAGTCAAATTGGTAGTAGTCACATGCACATCACAAGAGGGAACACATCTGATCCCTGTGATAGTTCTTATTTGAATGAATTAAAAACATCTAGCAGAATAATCAAGACTTCACCTTCTCTTGTGAGAATCCTTCCCTAACAGTGCTCCAGCATGCTCCTAGCTCACAGGGAAATCCCAGTGACATCCTGGAAATAAGCTCAAGGTGGATTTGAAGGCTGAAGGGGGTGAGCTGTGGGCAAAATAAGGCCCTTAGGAACAGGGGTCTCATCAGGCATGATTGGACAAGCAGCTGATTCATGATTTTCACCATTTCTCCTCATTTACCTGCCTCTGGTTATGACTGCCACCTAGTTAGAGGAAGGGAAAGGAGGAGGGCTTGTATGAAATACTAGATCATTCATTGGTTTATGCTAGGTTTATATTTACTCAACCTGAGCTATCACTGGGCACCCCTTGAGGCCAGAAAAGAGGTTTATTTTGTGTCCACTGGAGACTGACCACAACTAAAGACAGAACGCAGATCTGGTGGCTGGAGCTTCTGTTACCTGGTCAGTATATCCTGCTCATGGGTGCAGTTAAAATGGCTGCCATCATCTTTGAATTCTGAAGGAGAGATGCCTTGGAGAGCAGGCTGGGAAGGACCATCAGCCCTGGGGCTGTGCCTCCTCTGAGCACGGGGCACAGTCTCTTTCCTGCACTCTCCCTGGGGAGAAAGCTTGATGCCTTCTCCTGCTCTTGGCATGTATTTGTTATAGCTGTGGGTTTGGGTCTTTTCCTTCAGATCATAAGTTTGTTGCCAGGGAACTGGGAAGGTGTTTGGAGATCTATTGACCATGGCCTACAGACTAGATGTTTGGTGGACACTTTGAAACCTGCCATCTATTCCCGTGACTATGAGACACTGTCAGAGACTGTGCAGACCTGGTAGGTAAATCTGCACTGGCAAGTAAAGAAAGCCAGGAGGATAATTCAGCATTGAGCTTTGAGCAGGTGAAGATGCAAAGGCCAGTTAGTCTGCACCATTTGGTCTCAAAGACAGAAATGGTCCCAATCTCTCTTATTTAGCAGTATAGAAATAGTTCAAAAGACAAGACTCCATGAGTCAGGTGATCTTTTCCAGTCTTGTATTACTTTCACTATGAAAGTCAAAGGAAAAAAAAACTGAGAAACTGAGAAGCAACTCAAACTTCACAGGCACAGAAAGATTCATCAAGTCAAGTCAGACATGTTTCATATTTGGAAGAAGCCTCAAAATTAGAAGGCCAAAGGATGGAAGAGACGTAACCCTAATACAGCTTTATGGGCAGTACCAAGTGCATGAAATGAACAGAGGAATGAATTTGGGAAATCTGGGTAATGTACGTCAATCGGTTTTTAAAGAAAATTGTATTCGTTGCTACTGGCATCATTTGAGCTCTGCCTGCCTCCTTCTATGTTCCATAGGCCATGTCCCACAACAAACATGTAGTTCCAGTAGGTTCACAAACACCCTTTACCTTTAGCAAATGGACAGCCATTTCCAGAATCTATGGTTCTGGTATCATAAGGATAGCCAAAGTATGCTACAATTATTAAAGCACAGTATTATTAATTGATTAAGATAGCTTTGCTTTAAAAGTGATGTGTGTCAAATGATGCTTATCTGACCATGCTGTTGTTCTTGCTGATCCTGCCTGTGTTACCATTGGTTGTGTATCCAGGCTCTGTAAAAATCTTTTGAAAGTTTTTGAAAACCAGTGTCATTGCCCAATCTGCATGAGTTGCAAGGGAAGCATGTTTATAGTAATTCTAAAAATCTAGATTGAGGAACAAGTTTTGTGAGCTGCAGCTTGATATTTTTGGCCACACAAATACAGGTGGGGTTTTGTGCAAACTACCAACTCGTTATATTGACATATGAGCACTCTAGTGACAAAAAGGGAGGTGCACGGTCATGCCATCACATCCATGTGCAGAATTTATCCATTCAGTGCTTGCTTGAGAAAACACAGGTTTCTACTGAGACTCTAAAAAAGAGCCAGACCAGACCATAGTCATCTATGGACTGGCCATTAGCTTGCAATTTTGCCAAGTCTTAACAATGAATTAAAAGACTGACCACATAAGTGTCAAAATGTGAGCAGAAAATAAATAGAGGTATGTGCCAACACGTCATAATCCAGCTGGGAATTCTGTATGGAGAGGAGCCAAGGCTTTTATTCTAAATGGAAGTGGAGGGCTACAGTAGCTTCACACTAGCTTTGGATACATTGGGAAGAGGGGGTTTAAAGGCCTGTCTGATGACTAATTGCCATGACGTACTTCCAAATCTGCCACCGTGAACCGTGCGGCCCCAAGCTGCCATCTCTCCTGCCCCAGCTCCGTCTGCAGCAAACACCTCTACCCTGAAGCAACGCCAGGGAGGCAGCCTCCCTGCAGGGGAAGGCAAATTTCCCCAGTTCCTGCACCCAGGGCATCACCCTCTGGCAAGCCACAAAGTTTCCCTTTTCTGCCTGCTCCAGGCTGGAGCTCCTGTTTCTCGCTCGGAGGAGGAGGGAGGCTGCAGTGGACGCTGGGGTCTCACTCCCTCCTTCTGCACAGCACAGGAGGCACGCCGTCAATAATATAAATGATCAGTAGCTATACCATACACAGGCCTTTGATTAAAGCCTAAGCAAATGCCAGTGCTAACTGGCCATGGACTTTTAAAATCCTGAAATAGTCCTCAAAACACTTTGCCCACCAGAGCTGCCCATGAAGGAGCAAGGTCAGTGTACACAGGTGGCTCAGTTGTGTTCACTACATGTACCACCACAGCAACAAGGATTTCTGATTGCCAGAAATATGTACAATTGCTCTCTCACAGAAGAACGAGACCGTTTATCCAAATTTGAAATTTACCCACACCTTAGTCCACAGGCAAGCTGAGTCAGGCCTCAGGACCTTCAGCATCTAGACATCCAAAAACCCACTGGCTTTCAGTGGCATTGGACCATCTAGCTCCCCTTTCACCGCTGAAAATCCCAGCCAGCCTAGAGGTTACATTAAACCTCTGGTCATATTCGATTGCACTGCCATCACTTGGGCATGTGAACGCTGGCAGGGTGTGTACAGAGGAAGATTTATAGCAATAACCACACAAACACGCAAGCCCTGACTGCTCCCTGTGGACAACAGAGCATTCACAGGACCTTTCTAGAAGAGCACTCGTTTTTGTGGAGATGGCTGAAAGTACCTTTTTCCAGCCTCTGACCATGTGGAGGGTGTTGCATACTCTGGGCCTGTCCCCAGGCTGGTTTCCTTCTGTGGTGGTCACGCATGGTGCAGCTCACAAGGGGTTTTGAAATCCTTTCAGCGGAGGTATGCTCTTGCATACACATTTGCATATACGTATGCTTATGGCATTATACGTAACAGTATTACAAATGGTATTTTTCATATTCTAAGGCTTTCCCCTAAAGTTTGTGATTTATGCAGCCAGAGCCA